CTCGATTGGCCGTGGCCATCTCCTGTCCTGTGCAAACTGACTGACTGACTGACTGAACTACTGACGCTACAAACCACAATACGGACGTGGGATTACTTTTTGTATGCGTTGATGATAAATCTGGGTAGCATCCGGCTACTTTGCCTGTGGTTCGTTCGACAGCTGTCCTTGCCTTCTTCTATTTGTAAACTGTGATTGAAATGGCTGATTTTAAGTAGTAGTGAAATTTTTTATCAATTCTCCCATCGAAACGATTGGAAATTAAACGCACCTGCGTTCTCTTTCAAGAATACGCTGTTAATTAATTAGTTGAATAGTAGCGTTTTTAACTATACGCTTAACTGTTTATATATTCATATATATTTATATGGTATATTGATATATTTATCGCGAATCAGAGTGATGACTGGAATGTTTTCCAATCGCAGTACAATGTAATTATCGCACACCAGTCTTTTGTAGTCAAGATAATCACAGCCGAACCCATTGCGCTTGTCTGTTGTCACTAGCGCACGTATACTGCAATCAAATTGTTTACGACACCTCCAAAAACACGCCATCAATGCATCATTTTTCGGTGACTGCACCTTTCGGGGTGCATAAAGCAAATAATTGGCCTGATGTTAAACAGATTTTTGGATTATTTATTACACACCTAAGTGTGATAAACTACAGACAGGGCGAAGTTCATATTTCTGAGGATCTGCTGTTCAGACGTGGAAACCGGCAACCTAGGATTCAGGATTTGGAGTGGCGAACCACACAAGGCTCCGTTAGATTAGGCGTGCTGTTGAACCGGACGGAAGTAAAGTTGGCTGCCATCAAAGTAAGGTGGCAATGGCGGGGCTCGGACCTCGGACCATAGGGTTCACCGCTAAAAATGTCCACGTCTCTTGATAACTATAACTAACGATTATGTGATGTAATAAATTGGGAATGCACTTCAACCCAGCGTGACATCCAAGACGCGGGTCACAACTGGACGGAGTAGGATAAGCGTACTTCGTTCGTACAAAATTGCATTTCTTATAAACCCGCATGGTCTTGAAAATTTTTCACGAAAATAAGTTATCCTCTGATAATTTGAGTTCATGCATAAAGATCCCTAATTTGCTCAATTACCCCTGAAGGGGATCGATTCAAGACTGTCGTTCTCACTAGTAAATACCTGTTTTCACTTCAGTTTCAACAAACATTAACCACATGTTTTTGTGCACTGTTTATGGTTGCTAATTTTTGGCTTCTCATTTTGATAAAAGAGCAGAACAAAGATTGGAGTGTTGAGAAAAAATCAAGGGGTGTGTGCAATTTATATAGACCGGGGTTGCAAAAATAATTAATAGATGCACCATTGACACCCAGGNCACCCAGGTATCTCGTCTATTGTCTCTAACCACCGATTACCATAATCTCGTGGCCCTTCACCTTCATCATCATCCTTGTACAGCGTGATACGGTGAAGCAAACTTCATTGATCTCTACCAAACTCATATTGCATACAAGGTAAGTGAAAATGTGTAAGAAGGATAAGGATAGGGCCTATATTCAGGCACGGGAAAAGAAAGCGGACCTCTATGGTCAACACACAGTCCAAGGTCCAACTGCGCAGACTATTTCAAGCATTCTGGTCTGATAAGAAGTGACAGCAAGATCGCCACTGTTGTCGGTTCGCAGCCATGACCTTCAGTGGATCCAACCATGCGGTTTCGGAGTCTTTTGAACCACAACCCGGAATACGAGAGACACTTACTTTGCCTAATCACTGTGTGCATTTCTTCATGCCTCGTCTCCACGTCATCTGCTAGCCTCCAGCCTGCAACAGCCACTGCGAATAAGGCGCGTTGCAGTAGGCGACCGTCGGACATACACAAGAGGTGTCCTAACCAACGGAGCTTATTGAGCTGAATTTGATGAGATAGCGAGTTTCTGTTTGATGCATTCCCAAACACCCGACGACTTACTTCTACGTTACTAACCCGCTCATTCCATCCCACTTGGGTCAGACTACGTAAGCATCGATTGTCGAAAACCACTAGGCGACCGATGTCTTCTACCCGCAAGTTCAAGGTCTCACAACCGTAAAGCAGAACTGATCGTACAGTGGCACAGTATAAGCCACTTTTCAACTTCAATAAAACATCACGTCGTCGCCACAGGTGTTTCAGTCCTGCGTACGCCGCTTGAGCCTTGGAAATGCGGGCGGTTATCTCCTTTGATGCGCTACCGCCGTTTGTCACGCAGCTACCTAAGTACGAGAAGCAGTCAACTACAGCTAATTCCTGATCGTCTAGTTTCAGAGCAGAACTAGGCGACGTCCAGTCTTGTAGCATCACTTTGCGCTTTGAATTTGCGAAGCACATGCCGAACGGAGCGACAGAACTTGCTAATCTGTCAGCTGCTCTTTATGCATCTTCCATACATTCGAACAAGCAGACGATGTCTTCGGCGTGCTCCAAATCGCAGCTTTTCTCCAGCTGCCCATTCAATACCTACATTTTGGAGACCACTTAGTGTGTTCTGTAATATTTCGTCGATGACGAAATTCAACAGGAATGGTGGAGGAGCGCCTCACTGGCAGGGCTGAGTTTAGTGATCACCAGGCAAGCTTCCGATGCGCTCAGTTTTCCGACTTGATCGTTAAAATTGCCTGCGAAAACAACTATAGCTTTGGCTCAACCGAAAGAAACCTTGTATAGCTGGTTGGGTCACAGAGGTACACAAGCCATCACAACACGTCAAGGTGCAGTTGTCGTCCCCATCCAGGGAGCTTCACGGGACTTATGTGACCCAGTCTCCTGGATAGGATTTTCATGCTCATGTGTCTTAATTTAACCCGCTTGACCTTTGTCCATTCACTACCTGCCTCCTCGGCCCGTAATCAGTTGACTATCTATGGATAATACAGCTGAGTGCTGCTGATGACATGTCCACTTCGCGGATAGGAAAACGGCCACCTTGGTGGTTAACCGTGAATAGGTGAGGGCACCCCATCGAATAATCGGTCGCGGACGATCAGCGGCGACACTACAGGACGTGGTATGGTTTCTGGCTGGCAATAGATATCCCTTTTAAAAGCTATAAATTTCCACTAACGGTATCGTGACGTGTGCGAATGTGGCCCCGCCACTAAATAAGGCCATTACCACTTGCCTACTCGTCCTGGTACGGCAAACTTTGAGGAGTGCTACCGACCCTCAGACCTAACGGACACGTTGGGATTCCGGACTGGTGCTGAGCCATCTGAAGGGCATATTAAATGTCTTGACGGTCACCGAATACCAGCTATTCTTCCCTATTACCCTGCAGGTCGCACTTGGCTGTGCAAGCGTTGGAGGTGCGCCCTCATCAAAAGCCGAGTGACGCTGGGGACGTCACTTAGTACCTTACTCCCATGTTCTATTTCATCGTTCCCTCCTATCTGTTTCAATGTCTGGAAACGAACCAGATATTTTTAGGTGCCTCAGTCACTGCCGGCGGTGCCGTGAAATAACCCTACTTTACAACCTCATCGTCACATTCAGTGGTCCCACTATACACAGGTGATATCGCTTGGCATATAAGTTTCCGAGGTCGAAAAATAAATATTCGTCAACACAGGATTTGTCCGCCCTACTGTTCATCATGTTGAAATCTGTAGTCATCTAAGTACTGATGAGTTTTGATTGACCCTACACATAAATGAAGGCCTATCAAGAGTGTCCAAAGCTGTTTTGTTATTTTCTCCTGAAAGCTCCTACCCCAAGGACAATTCGCTCCTCGTCTGCTGAATTCTACCCATTTATGAACTATTTAAAACTGCAATTGAAGTTCTGGCCATCAATATCTCCGTAGCTTGAAGTTCAGACAGTACTTCAAGCAAACCAACCGACCTCAACCGTCAGCGCTGTCCAATTCCACCAAATTGAAAAAAACTACTTTAAAACCATCGACAGCTTAAAGGTAAAGCAAATCGGATTGGGGGTAGCTGTGCAGTTTTGTATTGAAACTTCTATCTGTAAATTCGATGAATGACTTTCTTCAAGTGATAAACCCATTTCCTTTTGAATATTTTTTATTCTTTTTCATCTAAGTCTTGTGTGACTTTCAATGCTAATATTACATCTTTCATTGGTGCCGCTCAGCATTCTTTTCAGAACTGCTTGCTAATCTTTTCGCATAGGCCCATCGTTCTGCCTAAAAAGCAGTGATATTTTCATAGTAGGTTCGCCATGTCTGTCGGTTACAACACTTGATTTCATTGTTTTCTTGTTTACAGACCAACGCGGCTGCTCGTGCCTAGTTGTTATTAACCAGAACCATGTTTGCTCTGAACGCTGCGACTCCGATTAGTGCATTGAACTTACTGAATTTATCCACAATTGTGGAACCCAATGGTCCCGTGTACAATGGCCCGGGTGCAAGTAAACATTTCGTACCATTCCACCTCCGGCAGCTGGAATATCATCAACGCGAGGCAATCGAAAGAGCCAAGAAGTACGCCATGGAACAAAGTATTCGAGCGGTGTTGCTCAAACAAACTCAGTCTCAACAGTCTCAGCAATTGAACAATATGAAAAAGACCCAAACCGTGGCTCTTCTCAATCGGGTTTATGTGGGTTCGATCTCGTACGACGTCAAAGAGGAAATGCTCAAGCAGGCGTTCTCCGTTTTCGGGCCCATCAAAACAGTTAGCATGAGTTGGGACCCGGCCACACAAAAGCATAAAGGCTTTGCATTTTTGGAATTCGAATATCCGGAAGGGGCACACTTAGCCATTGAACAAATGAACAATGCCAGTTTCGGTGGGAGGCAACTAAAAGTGGGCCGACCAAGTAATCTGGCCAGCGCGGATCCCATTATTGCAGAGCTTGTAGCGGAATACAAACTAGAGAATCGAATCTATGTGTCCGGAATTCACTTGGATCTAACTGAAAGCGATGTATCTCTTGTCTTCGAAGCCTTTGGTAAAATTGTGTTTTGCAGGTACGTCAAATTGCCACTCAATTCTGATTCAGTTCATCTCTTGCAGATTGCAACCAGACCCTGTGCGACCAGTAGGACACCGAGGGTTCGGCTATATCGAGTACGAGAACGGGCAGAGTGCAATGGACGCCGTGGCCAGTATGAACCAGTTTAATTTGGGTGGCCAACTACTGCGAGTTTGCAAGGCTATATCACCTCCAGATGGAATTACTAGTACAACAACGTCGGCTCTACCTCCAGCGGCCGCGGTGGCAGCAGCCTCAGTCACGGCTAAAGTGATGTCGATGGAAACCGAACAAGTGAGTCGCAGTCAGAAGTAATGAATTGTGATAAGTTTATTCTTAAATTCATTTTATTAACAAAACTGTGCATAAATTGTTTCAAGAAGCTTTAACTGTCGTTATTTTTTGGAAATATTCTTTNCTCGATGTTATGTCTCGTATTTCTCGAAATAACCATCAGTGGTGCCATTATGTGTCATGTACATGAGTGTTGTTCCCATAAGAATAAGCCCTTTGGATAGTTGACAAAACTACCATCTGCTTTAGTCTGCTGAGACCGCGACCTTTCGATGGTTTCCTTTAATCCGAGTAAGTTATTAGACTGTGACATCCTCTATAACTCGCTAACGTTGACTGTCATTGTTTTTTTGGTAGTGATGCTTTGCCCTGTCCCATAATTTTATTAGGTCATTTGATCTAAACGTTTTTCTGATACCTTATCGTTCATCCTAGTTTTTCTCAATTTCGATGACCAGTGTACGAATGCAGCTGATTGGAAAAGTGAAAACAGTCGAATTCACGTTAACGTGTTAGGACATAATAACCCCTACGATAGGCTATAAATTGTGAATTCATTGTGGCTGTATTAGATGAATTCTTGTTGGTAGAGAAAAAGCAGATTATCAGAGATTGTCGGAGGACACGAAGCAGCGGCTGTAATGTACCCGACCACACGACCTGTGAACCGATGTGAATTGATTTATGCTGTGTGACCGCCATCGTTTCTTCTTGTTGTTCATGTTTCAGCATTTTATAGCCCCTCAATCGTCTTCTGCTATTAGGACTACTCATGCAATGTGGTTGCATGAGGTGCATTTGCATATTGTTACCTGCTCTTTTGTGAAACACGGATCGCTCACTGGAGTAGTCACTGTGCATCACGTTACGCTTGTTCTCTTCGAAAACTCGGATACGCACGATAACAACCGGTGGATAGAACAAGCGCATCCATGATTAGCTCCATGAAGATGTTCACGTCAAGATGAAATATGAGTATTAGCATTTGAAACTGATACTATCTTGCGTCATGGACATAGCGCGTCGAAATGCAGCACATTTAAACTAAAACAGCTAATCCAGGTGGCCGCTGCATTGTATACCAATTAAAGTACTGCAAGGTTTACAAAGGCTGTCCAGTCGCAAATAAAGTAGATTATGTGTTCGTGCTCATACGTCGATGCACTTCGACTCTAAAGAGTAGGGACCACAAAGTTTCCACTAAATCTCGCACTCGTTCTATTATTAATTCATTTAAGTGGTGTATATACGATGGCTCACTGTAATTAACTGAATGAATTGAACATGTTTTCTTCTTCACTTATAGCTGCCAGTCAATTCAACCGGGATTCTTAATTCCTCTGACCCCGGTATGGCCGGAATGCTTATGCGCCCCCCAGACAACATTGTCTCTCCGGCTACGCTACCTAGTGATCAATCACCGTTCATGCCAAATACACCCAGCACTGTTTCTGGTCATCACACTACTGGATTTGGTCCTCGGGGTAAGTAAGACAAACTTGCTCATTCCTTTCTTACAGTGCGACTCGTCTTTCCTTTTGTCGCAGATTTTGACAATTAAATAACAAAGGTTTCATCATCCACCGTGTTGACATTATCAATGCAGTAATGGTTACTGCATTGAGAACGAAAATTGCAAAACTCGGCGACTAACTGCAAACTACTAGTTGCACGACTCACAAAATCAGTTACAGGTTATAAGAACTACATTAATACTGAGATATTTTATGCCGTAAAATAAATTGTCATCCTTGTTATGTGATGAAATCATCATTTAAAAACGGTGTTCGCGAGGAACTTTATTTTCGATTTACCGCATCGGTTGATTATCAAAACGTACTGCTAAGCATTGTCCTCCGGTTCTCTACAAAGGAACAGTTAGGTCCGTTTGCGGCTCGGTTCTCGGTCGTTTTCTCGCTAGCGGTCGAACAAATTGGATGCATTAAAAATTATGCTAAGGGAATAAGAGGACGCTTTTAACCACGACCGAGGCGATTGCAATTCGTATTTTAAACCGAGAGATACGCAAGCAAAATAAGCTGGTCCAGACACAGGCCTGACCTGGACAGTAGATTGATTTCGCATAAAATAGAGCATCAACCCTCCTCCTCCTCCCACCCCTTACACCGTATCGCCTACCCCATTCTTGACAATTAATTATTTTTTCTCCAGTTTCACT